AAGCAGTAGAACACTGGTAGACATGTAAACACAGAAGGAGGACGTCTCACAGGACCCTCTCCGTGGACAAGGCACTACAGGGAACTGGGGGATGCTGGGAGTGAGAGAAATAGTCTTCCCGGGGGGAAGAGGTCATGATTTTGGGAGGGAGCCAGGAAGAGTACATGGGAATGATTGCCAAGAAGGGGATGGGAAAAATGATGTAATTACAGATACAGTTTAAAGATTTATTTATTTTATGCATTATGGTGCTCTATCTGCATTTACAACTTTATGTCAGAAGAGGGCACCAGATCCCACTATAGATGGTTGTGAACCACTATGTGGTTGCTTGGAATTGAACTCAGATCCTCTGGAAGAACAGCCAGTGCTCTTAGCTGCTGAGCCATCTCTCCAGCCCTGATGTAAGTGTATTTTAATTAAATAAATTTATTTAAAAGTTCCTGGAATATAACAGCTGCTCAGGAGAACGTGGTAGAACCACACTTTGTGACGATGAACACAGGAGCTCAGGAGAACGTGGTAGACCTGTACTTCGTGATGATGAACACACGAGCTCAGGAGAATGTGGTAGAACCACACTTTTTTGTTATCATTCCTCCCAACTTTTGGAGACCCCTGCATCCTTTTAAAGTCCTATATTAAAATCAGGGAGAAGCTTCAGGTAAGTCTCAGGTATAAAACACACTCCTGTCAGGCTGGAGAGATGGGTCAGCCGGTCCTTTGGAAGACTCAGACTTCATTGCCAGCTCCAGTACCACGTGGCTCACGGCCATCTTTAACTCTAGTTTTGGGCATCCAGTATTGTAGTAATAGGGGCGGCGGGGCTGCATTCCCAGCACCCCGGCAGCCTGGCTAGCTTATGCTCCGAAATAACAACACACAAACTGTATTCATTTAATCACTGCTTGGCCCATTTCTATCTAGCCCTTACTGGCTAATTCTGATATCCCGATCAATCCATTTCTAATAAACTGTAGCACCGGTCTTACTGGGAAGATTCTAGCCTATGTCCATCCTGGGTCGGAGCTTCATAGCATGCGTCTGCCTGGGAGCGGGGCATGGCGTCTCTCTGAGGCGTCTGCTCCCGAGAGGAGAGCTGTGGAGTCTGACCTCACTTCCTCTCCCTCCCAGCCTTCTGTTCTGTTTACTCCACCTACCTATGTTCTAACCAATAAAATGGGCCAAGGCAGTTCCTTTATTAGCCAATGACCTTCGTCCATCACAGTATCCTCTAGCCTCTGTAAGAAGATTTGGTAACTGTTCCTCAGCGTTCATGGTGACCACTAGACCATCTAAGGGGAGAAAGTATGAAGAAGGTGCCGGGCAGGGTTTAACAAGCTCATAAGTGGTAATAAGAATCCTACTGTGAAATTGTGCATCTGCAGTTCTGTGTGCTATGTAGAGTGGGATTCTGACTAGGATGTTCGGGAGATGTTTAGGAAGGGGCCATGATCTACAGAGAGCTTAGAGAGCAGAGGAGGAAGGGAAGGAAACAGATGAGGGGGTCAAAGGTGTCGTCACAGGAGAAGGCTGGTTCATTCACAGGAACGGCAGCTGTCCCGTAGTGTTGCTGTGGAGGAGAGGCTGGAAGCCGAGGAACAGAGGACTCTGAACACTAAGGAGTTCAGATACCCGCCTCTTCTCGGGTTCAAGGCTGTAGCTTGTCTGATGTAATTCCCCTCAGAACAGGTCCTAGATGTAACTTCTCATTTCCTCCTTGCCCCTGTAGCCTCTGCTTGACTTCAACCCCCATGTCCTTTGTACCTCTGTGCACAAAAAGTCCAGCCCCCATTTCTTCTTAATAGACTCGCTGGTCTGTAATTCATTAACCTGTTATCTGCTGTAAAATATACAGAAGATAAGATGACATATGGCTTTGTGCAAAGGATTGGGCCCTTAATTGAGCCTAATAAAGAGGGAGCCTATCTTATTATTATTATGCAAGTAATAACGGCGTCAGATAAGATGCACGGCATGTGGCCGGTGCTCAGAATTTGTTGAATAAATAATAATGATAAATAATAATGTAGGACTGGCCGAGGACTTCTTGTGGAGTGCAGGGTGTGGTGGTTTGAATGAGGGTGTGTCCCCCCCCCCCCCGACTCATTTGTTTGAATGTTTAGCTCCCAATTGGACTGTTTAGGAGGAAAAACGGGGTGTGGTCTTGTAGGAGGAGGTATGACCTGGGGGGTTTGAGGTTTCAAAAACTCAGCACTGGCCCAGTTTCCGTGCGTCTCGCTTGTGGATCAGATTTAAGCTCTCAGCTCCAGCTCCAGCAACATGCTCCCTGCCATGCTGCTGCCCAACTCCCCACCATGATGGCTGTGGGTCCTCCTTCTGAAACCAAATAAACCCTCAATTAAATAATTTTAAAATAAGTTGTCGTGGTCATGCTGTCTCTTTACAGCAATGGAAAAGTAACTAAGACACCAGGTGTGATTCCACATGGCCAGCTGCCTAAGTAAGGCTTCCTAGCTGGGAAAGAAGGGACGGAGAAGAGATGCGGATATACTGCTCAGTGTACAAGTCTCAGACTGCATTTAGTAGCTCCTCGCCTGGCCATTTTCTCTTCCAGGGGAAGGAAGGAAGGAAAGCTGAGGGGAAGGGGGTGATATAAACAGACAGACAGACAGACAGACACACACACACACACACACACAGACACGAGAGAGAGAGAGAGAGAGAGAGAGAGAGAGAGAGAGAACAGTAATCCAATGTTTATCACTTTTCAGCCATACTAAGGTCTTAGGACCTCACGTTACAAAATCTTCTTTCGGCAGAAGGTAAGTCTGGAGAAAGATGATAATAAGAAAAGCAATAGAAACCTCGAGGGAGAGTCGAGTTTTGCTCCGGAAACACCTGTTCTTGACACCAAGGGTGCAAAGACCTAATTGCAAAAGCTTTGAATGAAGAGGACATGGAGCCACATTAGTTAATGCAGGAGACAGCACTGCAAGGCCTTGCTCCTTAAAGTGTGGTTTTCTAGCAGCTGCTGCTTCTGGACGTTTGTTAGAATGGACATTCCTGACTTCCAGCCAGCAGGCCTGAGTACGAAACTGTTTTAATAACTTCGGATCGTGTTCAAAGGAATGCTTGAGAAGTACAAGTCTGGAACACGGGAATGAGGTCTGGGAATGCATTCTACAAAAGTAAATTCTGAGTTCTGTTTTGAGGATGCATCAGGCCGCAGATGGTTCCCAGTCGAGGGACTAATACAAAGTCAGGAACCATGAAAAAGCCCGGGATGTTTGGGAAAGTAGAGTCAGAATCATAACCAACATGGGGAGAGCAGGCTGGAGAGATGGCTCGGTGGTTTAGAGTGCTTGCTGCTCTTCTGGAGACCGTGGGTTCTGTTGTACCCACGTCCTGCAGCTCATGGCCACCCGCAATCCTGGGGCAGGGGATCTGCTGCCCTCTTCTGGCCTCCAAGGTCGCTAGCACTCATTTGCACTTACAGACAACGCATAGCATACTCATAATGTAAAGAATCTTTATAAAGAAGAGGGGGAGGACAGAAAGATGAGGGAGGGAGGATAGGGAATTATAGGGAGAGGTCAGAGGTTAGGAGCCCCCATCTTCTGTTTGCGCTCTGTGTTAGGCAGCTTTGACCATATCTACGCCATGCCTTCGTTGTGGGAATGGCATGTTCAGATTTGCGTTTAGATCACTTCAGCCTCCTCAGGCTGAGAATAGGTGAGGCTGAAGGGCAGAGAAATTAATTAGGGAGCAGATGCAAGAGTTTCGCAGAGAGATAACTAGTGTCTCAACTCAGGCAGTGACAGCGGGAGTGGAAAGGATGGGGCAGACAAGACGTTTTAAAGGGCTCAGTGTGTGGACTGGAAGTGGGAGGCTGGAGGAGCGGTGAGGCTTGAGTGGATGACGTTCAGCCTTCTAGCTGGGATTAGTGGGTGGCTTACGGTGTCATGAACAGATGTAAAAATACAGGAGGATAAACAGGTTTGAGAAGGGAAATTGGGGATTCAGTTCTCAACATGTTCAACCCAGGTGTACAGAAAACATGTGTAGGAAGGGAAAGGCGGGGGATCAAGAAACGGGTGGAGAACAAGATGAGTCAATGAGGGTGGAGAAGGAACACGGTGAGGAGGAAACAATGGCTCGCTCAGGTTTGGGGCTACCGTCATACACCTTGTTGGTCTTCCGGTTTTATTGTCTGCTTCCCCAGAACTTGGTTTGGCAGGTGAATTTCCGGCTTCCTATCTAGTAACCAGATTGTTGTCACTACTATTTGCTCTGTAGCAATAAACAAATTAATTAATTAAAACTGTGGTTCAAGTCACATCTAATAGTGTTCGCCATATTGTTCCTGAGTGTATACCTTTGTCTTTGTCCCCAACACGAATTCCAGAGCGGAATAATGCAGCCTCCGTGTGTGTGTGTGTGTGTGTGTGTGTGTGTGTGTGTGTGATCCTTCGAGTTGTGGACTACTTTCTTCCTGCCAGATCTTTCCCATCTGCCAATTTTCTCAGTTGTTCTACTTACACCCTAGAATCCGGCAGTGGCTAACAGCCTGTCTTGGGTTGTCTTATGATTGTTTCGTATTTAGCAGCCTGTGTTCCTCTGCACGCCCCAGGCTTCCACGTCTCCAAGGAAGGAACTCCGTCAGTACTTAAATTTTTTCCTCCCGGGGTCGTTTTTTAGCCAAGAAGCCAAAGGTCGCTATTGTGATTGGCTTAGTCCGCGCAAGAGGAAGGTCGTCCCTCCTGGAACCCCGCTGCTCTTGCCAGGCTCAAACAGGGCCGGCCACCCGGAGCCCTTCCAGAAGGCCCCACGCACGCCAGCCTGCCGCGGTCCCTTCCCACCTTCCGTCCGCCGTGCTCACCGGGGTCAGGACCCGGGGCTCCAGGCAGCGGGATCGCTGGCCCCGCCCCTCTCGCCATAGCCACGCCCACCGACCAGCGCCGGCCAATCGGAGGCCGCGCGGCCGCGACTGGCAGCGCCCGCCGGCCCCGCCCCCAGCCTCGCTGTGGCCCGCGGCTTTCCGGGAGGCCGGTAGCGCCGCTGTCGGTCGCGCGCGCGCGCGAGGGGGCCGGTCGCCTCGGAGGGACTCGTCGGGTCGCGGACGCTCGCCGCGGGCCGCACAGCTCAGTGCCGACACGGTCAGCCAGCCCCGCGGCGTCCAGCATGGACTTCGAGGACGGTGAGCGGGCGGGCGGGCGCGCGGGGCGGGCGGGCCTGTGCCGGGGGTCTGTTTACCGCCTCAAGATGGCCGTGTGTGCGGCTTTGTTCTGTGGGCCGCGCGCGCGGCGATGGCGGGTCCGGGCCGGACGCTTCTCGGCCGGGAGCCGCACGCGGGTCCGCGGCCGGCCTGGCTTGGGCCGTCCCCCCCGTTGCCCACGGGTCGGCCCCGCTGCGAGCTCCGCGGCCTCTGGGCCCCATCCTCGGGCTTGCCCAGGGCCGCCCGCAACTTCCCGGCCTTGCGCGGAGGGGCGGCCCGGGCCCGCGGGGGCAGCGAGCGGGTGGCGGGTGGAGCCGAATCTCGGCACGGGCGGGCTGCCTCGTGCGACGCTTCTCGGTGGGAGACGAATGTCAAGCGTTCCATCGGGGTGGGCTCCGATCTCCCCCGGAGACGGAATCTGCGACGGGGCTGTTTAATAACTCGCCCCGTTTTTACCTGCGTGGTAATCGCCTCGCCCGAAACCGTCCCGGTAACCGGTGCACTTTTCAAGGCGGGGGTGGGGCTGGCGTATGCAGGCTGCTTCGGTTGGGATTCTGACACAGCGAGCCCCGGATGCCCTTCACGTTCAGGTCGGTGTACAGCAGCCCCGGGTGGGACTTCCTGAATAAATAAACGTAAGGATGCTTTTCAGCCCTCCGTCCCTTCCGTCCGTCTGGGGACATGAAGTACAGTTAATCTGATACCATCAAATCTTGCTCAAGTTTTATAGGCATTAGTGTCAACATAAAATGGTATATAGTGACAGTGTTAGGGAGACATGGGACAGTTTACACTGAGTGTAATCTGGAGCAAGTACTGATTTCTAAATAAAACCGGTTTGTTTCTTGTAAGGAAGCCTCTGCCTCCACAAAAAAAAGTTAGTCTTTAACATGAATAAGATGTGATCTTAGCTTATGTTGCATTGAATGAGCTTTTGATTTTTGGTTTGCTACAAGCAGTTAAGGCTGTCAGACATAAGTCTAGGAAAGGAGACACAGTCCCCCTTTTTGGTGTACTTTTTCCAGTTGCTTTGAAATAGTTCAGCTCTTCAGAGCAGTGTCCTGCCCTGTTGGTGCTTTAGTGTTGGGCCGGGACTCATTCTGACACAGGTGACTCTAAATTGCAACTATGTGCAGTGGCCAGAGCTGACAGCAAAAAGAAAACTGTATTATGTTTTCATACTATACCTAAGTTTGATGACACTGCCAGCATACGTGGTACCAGAAGTTAACCTTGTGGGGTGTGTGGTGTGTGTGTGTGTGTGTGCGCGCGCGCGCGCACGCCCGCGTGGGAGGAGGACAGTGGGAACAGTAAGTAAGGAAATACATTTTCTGTGGAGAGTTGAAAATGAAAGCAAACATACCGAATTTACCATTCATTATCATAATAAAATAACAAGCAGTGTCAGTGCTAATCTCTGAACTGCCCTCCTCACCCTCCACTGGTGCAGTCGAATGGGTCCGAATCTGATCCTGTGTTATGAGCCAGGGTTTGGTTATATCCAGAAGCCCTGTATTAAATTCTGCTCCTTCAGGCTTATTTGTAGAGTTAAATAAAGGCTTTAACATTCTGCCTGGATGGATACAGCCCACACACTCATACATAAATGCATGTGTGTTTTTCAGGCTTGGTCCTGAGTATTTGGAGAACAGACTGAGTGGTAAAACAGATGCTGACCTTGAAACGCTCTCTAAAGTGTCTCCTCCTTTGCTCTGTAGCCCAGGCTGGCCTCGAACTCACAGAGGTCTGCCTGCATCTGCTTCCCCAGTGCCACCACTGCCTGACATATATCTCCCTCCTTCTTGCATTATTTGATACATAGCTTGCCTTCCTTCTCTGTGTAGATTAGTCCTGGTCTACTCTTTTGGCTGTTACATATGTGGACTGTAAATTAGTTTTTACATTGCCACTAGGCAGTGAAGGACCGATTTGTTTTTCCAAATGGGTATTTGTAATTATTTTTACCCCAGTTTTTTTTGGTAATTGAGTTAATGATGTTTAAAAATTGATTGTGAGTAGATGAGTATGATTTTGGATTTTGCTAACATTGCACTAATTCCTTTCTGTTGAATGTCTTCGTAGATTACGTACACTCTGCTTCCAGGAATACTTACCAGGGCTTTAATGGTAAGTATCCTCTTTAATTTCCTTTTAATTGTGTTGAGGGAACAGATATATTTCCTTATATATGAAAGCACAACTGTGAGTACAAAAAAACTGACCTACTTGCTTCAGTATTGTTTTGACTCTTGATTCATAAATCTCGGTGTTAATGTCGTGCTGTTTATAGTGCTTGTTTTTCTGGTGTGTGTGTGTGAATTTGTACGTGTACACTTGCTGGGGCTCTCATGAGTACTGTCAAGTATTCCGCCTTGAGTGGTATCTCCAATTCTGTGTATAGTTTTGAACTTAGGATCAGAAGAGGAAGTTGGGTTACTTTGACTTTGTATCTGTTTTCTTCTATTTAGGATTTTTTCTTTAATTTTTGACTACATTCTGAGTGACTGATGGCAGCACACTGGCTGAATTACTTTTGAGTCAGACATCTGTGCTCACTTACACAGATAGATGAAGTAGATCTTGTCTTGATTCTGTGCCACTTTTGTTGGAATGCGTCCTGGCTTTGCTGCTGAGGCCAGTTTTCAGTGACCAAATGAGTGATAGAGAACTGTCCAGAGGAACACATGGAGAATCCTGACTGCCTGTTAATAGAAACCTGGTGTTGGCTTGTGATAAGCTGTAATCATAAGAGACGTGTGGATACCATGCCTATTGTTTTGATAGCTATTAGAATTAAAGTCCTGCTGTACAAGATGAATAGCACAGAACAGTTTGGAGGGTAAAACCAAACCAAACCATCATATGAGAGGCATGAGGGAGTAGTGGTAAATTTCTTTGACTACCAGAGAAATACAAAATCCAACTATTTTACCAAATGTTTAGTCATGAAACCAAAGCAAATGTGCCATTAAAGACTGTGCTATGAAAAGCATTATTTATGTGTATGTGCCTGCTTTTCTATATGTGTACCAGGTATGCGCAGTGCTATTGGAGTCAAGAAGAGGGCATTGGAGTCACAGGGAGTTGAGTTCATTTGGTGTGCTAGGAACCACACCTGGTCCTCCCATGAGCAGCACTGCTCTGGCTCTCTGCTGCCGAGCTCTCTTTCCAAACCCATTTTTTTTTTAACATTTCTTTATTTATTTATTATGTATACAATATTCTGTCTGTGTGCATGTCTGTAGGCCAGAAGAGGGCACCAGACCTTATTATAAATGGTTGTGAGCCACCATGTGGTTGCTGGGAATTGAACTCAGGACCTTTGGAAGAGCAGGCAATGCTCTTAACCACTGAGCCATCTCTCCAACCCCTCCAAACCCATTTTTATGCATGTGGTTAATCTACCATCTCTAAAGACAAAGAGACACTTGGGATACTACTTTGAGAAAAAGGCTGCTGTCGTGTGGAAACTAGGATGTCTTTAGTGAGCGCTGAAGATATGTTTTTGAGAACAGTGACCGGAGGCTTGATTTTGTGTCAACGTTAGGCTAGATTGGAGGCTGGTGAATACATTTGAATGTAGGGAAATGATAATACTCATTTTAAAAATGTTAATATGTTTCTTGTAGGAAATTAACAGAATGTGGAAGCTATTAATAATGGGTAGAAAATGAATCCAAGATTTTAAAGTGGAGTAAGTAAGGCTAGTGGGTTTTAGAATGATGGAAGGCTTTCCTGGAGAATTAGAGTTTGATTTCTAAAGATACTGTTTGGAATTCAGAATCGCATAAGTCAGTTTATGTCAATACTGATGTATTACAAAATCTCTAATATTGCAATTTTATGTTTTTGTACTATAATTCCAGTAGTGATTCTCATTAGAAGATATTGTCATAATTCCCTAGAGACATTTTCTAAGTGAATATTGTATAGGTGGTAGCCTAGACCACCTGGCGCTTAATTTTAGGCAAAGGGTCCCTGACTCTGTGGGCAGAGTACTTTGAATAAAAGGTACTGGCTTTTACCTCTGGCTAAGGTCCACTACTTGAAAATACTTTGAGGTCCTACTTGTTTTCATTTTATCAATGAGGAACTTAATTTCAGGGCATTTGACTTCATTTACCAGTACTTCTTAGTTGCTGTGTACCCAGGTAATGTTCTGAGAGTTAGGGACAGAATCTGTGAACAGAATCTTTGTGGAACTAATTTCCAGTCTAAAGGGATGAAACATGCAGAAAATAGTTTTAAAAATAACATACTCTGTGTTAGAAGATAAAAATTGTTGGGGAGAAGACAGGTTGTTTGTTTGCACTGTGATTTTACAGTTGCTAGGTCAAGAAAAAGAACATTTGGGGGCTGGAGAGATGGCTCAGTGGTTAAGAGCATTGCCTGTTCTTCCAAAGGTCCTGAGTTCAATTCCCAGCAACCACATGGTGGCTCACAACCATCTGTAAAGGGGTCTGGTGCCCTCTTCTGGCCTGCAGGCATACACATAGACAGAATGTTATATACATAATAAATAAATAAATATTTAAAAAAAAGAAAAAGAAAAAGAACATTTGAGCATAGAATTAAAGGAAGTGAAGATGCCAACTCTGATACAGTCTGGACCAACAATGTAATAGACTTTAGTAAATACTAATAAAAGATTTATGGATTCCAAATGAAGCCCATAATATTTTGTTAGCCTTGGGTTTCCTGTTTCTACTGAAAGAAAGGCACTGATACAGATTTTCTCCACACCGCGATGAGGAGGATTTTTATTTATTTACAGTGTTTTTCTTACTCATTCTCTTCTTAAGTAAAGAGCAGATGGAAAAGTTCTGAGAACACTGAGCTTCAAAGAGAGTACAAAGACTGGTTTGACCAAAACAGATTCTTTTTGCTGAGCAGTGTGAAGATAAGGCTAGAGAGGTGAGGTATAGCCAGAAGGCAGTGAAAAATCAAAGGCGATCTGTTTGTGTATAAGAATCAACGAAAATGAAGACCTGGAAGAGGTGTTTAGTGAGCACTGCAGATACAGCGGAAAAGCCTTCCTGGGAAAGGAGCAGTGGAAACGTGGGTGTCCGTTGTTGGAACAGAAAGGAGCCTTGGGAGTGGAGTGGGAGATGAGGTTGTAAGGTAGTCGGGGTTCAGTGGTGACGGGGCAGAGCGTAGATGCTTTCTCTACTTGGGCACTATTGACACTTAGGATTAGCTATTATTTTTATTGTAGGGTATTGTGTGTGTGTGTGTGTGTGTCTGTGTCCTTCCCTGTGTGTGTCTATCCGTTTGTCTGTTCTGTGCGTTCACTGCAGAATGTCAGCAGCATCCTTGATCCCTGTGTGGTAGATGTCAGAAGCACCTCCTGCCTAGTTGTAACAACTAGAATTTTTTATTACAGACATTTCAGTGTTCATTGGTGGGTTGTAGGAAGGAGGGAGGTGGTGTGGGAGAGTTGTTTCTGGTTAAGAACTAGTTGGGGCTGGGGAGATGGCTCAGTGGGTAAGGGCACTTGTTGTGTAAGCATGAGCACGAGGGGTTCGAATCCCCGTCACCAAGTAAAAAGCCAAGCACAGCTTTTTATAGGTGTGCATGCACCTGTAATTCTAGTGCTATGTGGGGTGGAGATAGGATCGCTGTGACTTGTTGGCTGTTAGCCTAGCTCCAAAGTTCACTGAGAGATCTTGTCTCAAGGAAATGAAGCAAAGACTGATAGAGTAGAACATTTGACTTTGTTTTCTGCTGTCCATATGTGTGCACAGTTGTGTGCACATACTCACAGGCGCACACACACACAGACAGAGAGAGAGCGAACCATTAACAAAGGATCATACAGGTTATTTTAAGGCTTTGGCTTTTAAGTTGGCATAAGGTGGGAAGCCATCATTGGGCATGATTTGCCTTATATTGTAACAGTTATTCTGGCTTTTATCTTTAGAATAAACAGAAGGGAAGTAGAAATGGAAGTAGGAAAACCAATTAGACTTTGGAGTAATCTAGGTGAAGGTCATGGTAGTTGGCAGTACTGTGGGTGCAGGAACATGAGAAGTAGTTCTGTGCACATGACTGGGTAGTGGTTTGGGTTTTCGAGACAAGAGTTTCTGTGTAGCTTTGGAGCCTGGCCTGGAACTCACTCTGTAGACAGTCTGGCCTTGAACTCAAAGAGATCTGCCTGCCTCTGCCTCCTGAGTTCTGGGATTAAAGGTGTATGCCACCACCGCCTGGCTGCAGTTTTTATCAGATACCACAGCTCAGCATATTTTTTGTAATAGTGGTTCAACTAAATAGACTTGACTCAAATTACTGGGGCAGATTTGTTCGTCTGATTAAATTTTTTCACTTAATAGTAACGAAATAATGTCCTTGTATTTACATTTAAAAATGATTTTAAAATTCATTTTGGCAACCTGGGAGAAAAATTATCCAGAAAACTTATTTCTCTGTAAGTACACTGATAATGTTGGTAGACCCTCCATCTTTGACCAGTTGTGGTGTGTGCACAGTAAGTGGAAAGTGCTGAGACAGAAAAGCTGTGCTGGTATTCTGCACAGGGCCAGGTCTTTGTGAGTCAGTAGAGACTCTGACACAAGACACCACTAACTCAGAGACTAGCAGAAATAACTAAACCTTCGCATCTGTATGTGGCTAAAGTTAATGCTGAGGTTACTTTTTATGTGAGGTCTTGCAGAGAATTTAATATTGATGTTATTTTCATCCTCTGTATGAGAGGTACAGGCAAATGCTGCAGCAAATACCTTGTGATTTCAAGCAGACGACTGACTCTGCATTAATGAATTATACAGACTTTCCAAATAGTGACAGGTTTTAGTGTACAATATAAGAGCCATACGAATGCCACCCGCTGTCAGGTTGACAGGGATAGATAAAAGTTTTTTAAGAATTTTGATTTTTTTTCAGTTTGAAGTATGAATTTTGTCAGTAGCAGCAAATAGTTTTTTTTCTTCGTAGCAACAGTTTCAGTGCATATGTGAGAAAATGTTTGCTAAGTGTCCCTGTCTGAAAACCATGGGTTTGTAAAATGTATTTTATTCTTTGACAGTTTCACATGATGCAAATGTCTTATGATTATAGTCACCCCATTATCCTTTCTATTTCTTCTGTTCTCTATGTGCCTCTTCTTCCCAAGTTCCCCTTCTGTTTTCATGTCTGTCTTCTGTGACCCATTGTGAGCAGCCATTAATGGCCGGTAGTTCCTCAGCCTGCTGATGGTGCTTCCTGAGCTCATCTCCAGCATGGCGGACTGTGGACATGTTCAGTTGTGTGCAGTCAGCACAGCTGCTGTGAGTTGATGAGTGCAGCTGCCATGTTGTGTCCAGGGACAGACAGCACTTCCAGCACTCTTCCTCCTGCCGCACTGTCTTCGACAGTGGTCCCTGAGCCGTGGAGGGAATCATACTGAAGTCTTTTATAGGGTTGGACACTCAGCAGTTGTTTTTGCTCAGTCCTTTGACCAGTTACGGATTTCTCCACTGTAAAGAAGCTTCTCTGACCAAGGCTGTAAGAGAAGCAGTATTATATGACTATAAACATAAATATTTAGACAGGGTATGCACCAAGTCCCTTTAATAAAATCACAGGCAGGGATAGGATCCTAGGGCCTGTTACCTCCCCACTCATGGGCTTTTGACCAAGTTTATAGGACCATGAAAACCATAGTTTTTGGGGGCTGGAGAGATGGCTCAGTGGTTAAGAGCATTGTGTACTCTTCCAAAGGACCCGAGTTCGATTCCCAGCAACCACATGGTGGCTCATAACCATCTGTAATGAGGGCTGGTGTCCTCTTCTGGCCTACAGACATATATGCAAACAGAATAGTGTGTCCATAATAAATAAATAAATATTAAAAAAAAGAAAACCATAGTTTTTATCTTCCAGTCTTCCTACTGAAAAGTGCTCTTTATAAAAAAGTAGTTAGAGTCATAAAGCAAACATGGTACAGTGACTTTTCTTGGAGAGAACTGTGATTCTTTGTCATGTAGCACAATTGCTTTGTGTGCATTTTCTGTTTCATTACATTGAGTAACAAAAAGATGTAATTGAATCAAAGGCCAGGACTTAAAATTATTAATTACTCTGTCAAGGGCATTCTAAAGCAAAGGTGATTTAAAAATTGGTTGTTTTTCATTGGGTGTTTGACATTAATATAATGACTGCTAGATTAGTCTGATGCTTCATAGTTCCTTGATTTGTACCGAAATGCTAGTTATCCATAATGTTGGTATACTTTTAGTGTGTGCTGTGAAATCGGAAATAATATCCTTGTTATTTATAGAAATAGTTTTGGTCTCATGGATCTCAGAACTGTCTGGTCCTCAAACGGTTGTATGATAACTGCTCCTCTAAGAGGCATTAAAAATTAGACATTGAAGATGAAGCCACAGCAGTGCCCTGTTGTGCTTCTGTATAAAGTCTACAGGTTCTGTAAATAGAAGAAAAATGACTACCAGGGAAAGTTTTCTTGCATAGTTTAGTAATTGAAATAAATGTGAAAAATTAAAAGATTCCAAGTAGTTACTTGGATTGGAATAAAAAAAATGACTGTTTTTATGTAGAAAAAAATAACAGGAGATTAGCTAGGAGAATACTTACATGATTCTGGGAAACCCATTTTCTCTTGTGAACTTGAGTTTGCAAATCTAAAAAGTGAAAAGATTAAATTTGACTAAGGTCACTTTCAGGCTTAAAAGGCAAAGTTATGAGTAGTATTTATGTAAAGTTTTACCATCTTTGTTCAGACTAGAAACATTAAATGATTGTAAGTACAACTACTGTATTTATAATAAAAATATGGGGTGAATGGTAATGAGGCATTTTAAGGGATTTTATAGAAAAAATTTAAATACTCATCTTTATACTCACCAATTTTATGACCTTCAGTTTTCTAGTATAAGTTTGTATACTCCTACACTAGAATTTTTTGGTGTTTGTGTTATGAAAATTCACACTCATTTCTTTTATTCAAAAGATTTGAGAATTGAAGTGTTTGTTGGGGCTGTGTTATTCTCAGGTACAGGACCAAAGATTGGTCTTTGTGGTGTTACTTCTTAAAGTATCTGTATCAGCTGAATGTTTCTAGTTGAAAATATAGTTGAGTTTTTAGACATTTTGGGAGCAACTAGTACAAAAAACAAGTGTAGTATATTTACATTATAGTATACTTAGGAAAAAAAATACCTCTTGATATTTATTAAATGCTGACTTTTTGAGCCTAGTAGTTATATATAAAGCTATAATCTTTTTTTGTGCTAAGTTCCAGATACAAGGCATTTTAGTAGTAGACTTCTAGTCCACTAAATATGCTTGTACTGAAAATATTTTTATTTTTGTTTGTTTTTTTGTTTTTCGAGACAGGGTTTTTTCTGTGGTGTAACTCTGGCTGTCCTGGAACTCACTCTGCGTAGACCAGGCTGGCCTTGAACTCAGAGATCTGCCTGCTTCTTCCTTCCGAGTTTGAAAATATTTTTAATGTAGAATTTTGTAGTTGATAGTTTATTTTTCTTTGAAATATGAAGCTTTGTTAGCAAATAATAGTTTTTAATAAATTACCATTTTGTTATTTTTTATATTTAATATTGAGTTAAATGTTAGTGCAAATTATTGCATTAGATGATTTGTATGAATATATTGTATTTAATAAAAAATTTTGTGAAGAAAATGGTTTATTTTACTTATAATCTCTTATTGACTCCTTTAGGAATGGATCGTGATTATGGCCCTGGATCTTATGGAGGTCTGACATTCCAGGATATTTATCTAAAAATTCTTCTTTTGAGTGCCAGTAAAGGTGAGCATCATTTAATTTTTTTTTTTTTAAACTCTTATAGGGCTGGATCGTGACTATGGCCATGGATCCTATGGGGGTCAAAGATCCATGGATTCCTACCTAAACCAGTCCTATGGCATGGACAATCACAGTGGTGGTGGTGGGGGTAGCAGGTAAATTGCTTCATCACTTGGCCAAATAATTAGAACTATAAGATTCTGGATGTATTAAGTATTCCTTAGGCTTTTATGATACTTTGCTTTTTTGAACTTTGTTGTTTGGTATTGGATCACCTTAAATATTTAAAGATGCTAATTAATGGGCATAAAAATTTTCTTAGTCACATTGGCAGACATTATTTTCGGAGGACATTATTTATCTTTTATTTCAGTGTAATAGAATAAGACATTCTTTAACAGCGGACACTTTAAAAAGAAAAAGTTTCTTTTATTTTTAATTTCTTATCAGTCAAAATGTCCTCTTCAAACTGTTATTGGAAATATTTATTTGTGAATTATTTTTCTTAATTGTTGAAAAGAATTTTTTTCTAATGTGGGCACTGTGTGACTGCTGAGTAGTCTGCTCAGAGTGGCTTTAACTGGACAGGCTGGCAGCCTTCAGTTTCTGAGACACATTTAAGATAGACTTTCACTTAAGTTTACTTTTAAAGCAAGTTTGAAGAGCATTTTGTAATAGTAGTGTTCTTAAAATTGTGTTCAGGTTGTTGACTGGCAGCTGCTGCTTACATCCAGACACCGTGCTTAAAAATTAGGGCACCTTGAACTACAGTCTAGACTATTTCTAGTTTACTGTTGATATTCTTTGAGACTTACACTAATTAAACAACTACAGGTCTTAGGACTGATCATGTTTAATAACCTTAAGGGGGAGTCTGTTTTTTGAGATATAAAACTTCCTTTTAAATACAAAGTAAACTAGTTAGACATTTGAGGTCACTGTCCTTCATAAACTGAAGGATCTGGGTTCCTTATGATGGACTTGAGGATGCTTGTTTTCTTTGTCCCTGTGGTTTACAGTAGAGTACAGTCACGAGAACGAACAGTTCATTACTGTCCTTACGTAGTGCTTTGAAATGTGCAGTTGGAAGGAATAGTATATGGCTAGTATTATCTTCTATTGAGCGACCTATAAATCACTGACTAATGTAACATCATTAAATGTTTTAGTTTATCAGTTATTGCCCTCTTACATTGTGTGTTGTACATAAACTATTTCTGTAGTTATCATTCATCTCTTGCGTAATTGTGAGCTTTTTAAAAACTGTTGTAAGATAATAAGCAATTCTGTAATCCATGTTTTGGATTTGTGATAAGTAAAATGTTTTGTTTTTTTTCTGTTGAGACAGTGTGCTTACCTTTTAGAGTAGTTTCAATGTGATAATTTCTTGATAGGAAATGCTTTTTCAAATAATTGAAGGCCTTATAAAATGCATTCTTTCTCATCTGCTTTGAATATTCATATGTAGAGGGCACATGTTGGTGGTCTTTTACTTTTATGTTCTATTTTAAATGTTTATTCTTCTAGATTTGTTAGATTTGCTAGTCTATCAGAGTATTTAAGGATTGGCCTTGGCTGAAGTTTGGCACAATGCTAAACTTTATAACCTAATTCCTCAGCTTTGATTACTATAGGCAGTTTTGTGATATAGATTATTGAGGTACAAAAGATCACTCAGTATCACAAAGACCCCTCTCCCATCTATGCAGTCTTTGTATCCCTAAAAAACCAAAATGTTGTAAATGCTTTATAATTGTCATTATTAGGGAAGAATTAAAAAAAAACTTTAATTAGTTGGTGAACTTGAGCAAATAACCTTTTCTAAGACTAGGGCTGGGCTTTAATTGTTAGACAGACAAATTAAAATAAAATAGAAAAGCTGCTAAAAAGCAGAGTTTAAAGCTAAGGTTAACTGAACTCAATTTATATTTAGAACTGACTCAGATAGCTTTCTGTCTGGTCTCATGTTGGACTGCCCAGCCCTAATCAAGTGTGAGCAGAAGCGCAGCTGTGCAAACCACTGGTGTAAATGAATTTTAGTTGATAAATGTCATCTGATAACTTGTCTTTTGAATTGTCTAACATTAGTAAGCTTACTTTTGTTTTTTCCCTCACTGTGCAACTTTTCCAGGTTTGGACCTTATGAGTCTTACGACTCCAGGTCTTCTCTGGGTGGGCGAGATCTGTACAGATCTGGCTATGGTTTTAATGAACCCGAACAAAGCCGCTTCGGAGGTAGTTATGGTGGTCGATTTGAGAGCTCCTACCGGAATAGCCTTGACTCTTTCGGAGGTAGAAACCAGGGCGGGTCTAGCTGGGAAGAACCTTACTCCCGTTCAAAATTGAGGCCTGGGTTTATGGAGGACAGAGGAAGAGAGAATTACTCTTCCTACAGCAGTTTTTCTTCACCCCATATGAAGCCTGCACCTGTAGGCTCTCGGGGGAGAGGAACGCCTGCTTATCCTGAAAGTACGTTTGGAAGCAGAAACTATGATGCTTTTGGAGGACCATCAACAGGCAGAGGCCGAGGCCGAGGAGTAAGTACAACAGAATCTTTTCAGATTCTTTTCAATAGTCACTCTTTTAAACCCTTTCAAGACCATGGTTTTTAATGAGAACAAACACTGTTTGTCCCAGTGTGTTTTAAGCGGAGGCTGAGTCATAAAGTTTTAGGTTGACTGCAAAACTTTTCCAGCACTTCAGAAAATAAGTTGCAGTGTGAGATGATTATTCATGAAGTTATGGCAAATCTCCCTTTATGAAAAAGGTGAGGATATTAGGTTTGGTCTAAAAGGGGTTAAAAGGAGTTGCGTTTTTTCTTATAAACACTAGCAGTTTTGCTGGTGAGATAGCTATTGGATTATTGTAAAAGGTAACTGAACCCTTTTTGAGTTTTGAGTAGGTTAAAGGTGCAATGTATAACAAAACATTTACCCTTTGTTAGTAAACTCTAGCAAGTAGAATCCTTTCAGAGTTCATGTTTCCTGTTAAACACACTAGAGATCAAAAGCCCGTGGTAGCTCAGGGCAGCTTAGCCATGTTTGCGTGGTGAAGAAGTTGATATGTGTAACAGACGGTAGAGTGATTTGTGATCAGTAGTAGTTTTTTGCTAACTTGCTCTCTTATTGTATGTCCTGTTGGTGATTGTTTCATTTCCCCTAACTCTATTGAGAAAGAATCTCTTACTTGTATATATGTTTACAGTTGCTTCCTAGGAAGTGATACTTTGCAAGTTATTGCCTAACTGGATAAATATGTTGGTCCATAGGTGTTTAATTTCAAGGATATATTTTGTAGCAATTATGCCCGTGGTCTTGGGTAACTTGATAAATTTTTACCTAGTAAGGGTGCATAGATTACAGGATTATGTAGTTTGGTCATATAAATACTATTGTATATTTATATTTTTGTAATATAAGATGTTTTTTCAAAATCAGTTGTGTTTATTATTCTCCTTGTAGAAGAAAGTATTCTGATAAAAACTGTAGTAGGGCACGTGTTTTTGACTGTTCATTAGCCTTTGGTCATCAGTGTAGTTTGTCTTATTTGTGTAGAAATTTTGTATTTTTAGTAGTCACTCTTTACTTACTTAAAATGCATTGCACCTTTAATATTCATAATGAAGATTTTTCTGATGTGTCCATATAAATTACATGGAGACAGTTATGCAAATCTCCTAGGTTAGATAGATATTTGTAATCATATATTAATGTGTAAGCAGCAGTGTTGGTCCACCATACTTGATGATTACAGGTTAATTAAAAGTAGCTGGAGTCGTAGGCTTTGGGTTTTGAAATTGAAAATACATTCTAGTTTGAAAATTTGGAAACCCATTTAACCTCTTCCATGCTGTGTAATAGTTTGGGCAAAGGATTTTTTTCCTAATGAGGATTCAGGTATCAATTTTGTTTTCTTGATATAAAACTGAGTATTCCTGTACTTTCTATTTACCATTCTATTCTAAGTGGAGTTCTCTTTCTTTCCTTCTGTTAGCCAAATAGACGAACCAGTAGACTCTAACTTCCTTGTACAATTCCCACTGGGTCCTTCTCCTCAGATTATTCCTCAGTCTTTACCTTCTGAAAGGAAGATTAGCAGAGTACATTTCTGTGACTATAACCTCTTGGTGTAGTGGACTTTGTTAATGACAGGAGAAGAGGAAGGGGCACAGAGCCTGAACTTGCTTCTGGGGTGTGGGGTATCACCTGTCTCTTGAGGGGCGAATGCAAGTGGAATGGCAGGTGCAGTTCTCTCTGAAGTGTGTCCTGGAAGGCGCTGCATGGGTGTGCTGTAATTCTCCTCTCCATACTAATGCTCCATCTCGCTGCTCATCCCATTCCCAACAGGGAGAACCCAAATCATTTCTGCTTCCTTTTTACTTTACACTACAAATATGATCATCTTTGTATATCTTAGTTTTAAGCAAGGTTTTAGTAGAATAAAAGATTTCTTTTACGGTCTTTGATGGGAAAACATCAAGTAGGAACTCTGAAGAGGAGTTGTCAGAGCTGTACAAGTGGTGACCCTCTGACAGGCATATGGTGTTGTTTATGGTCTCACATAATTCTGAATTGTAACAATTAAAAAATAGGACCTAGCCACCTCTGTAATACTGGGAATACTAATGCATTGGATTTGAGTTCATGTAATAATTTATACATTTTTATATGTGCTTTCTCAGAGAGAACATGTAAAATTCAGTTAAGTTCCTCAGAATTTTCAGGTGAAAACTAGTAACTAGATGACAAAAATTTATATTAATCCTTATTTTGTATTGTTATGCTAATGTTTCTTGATTTCACAAATTTACAGCATATGGGTGATTTTGGAAGCATTCATAGACCTGGAATTATTGTTGACTATCAAAACAAATCTACCAGTGTGCCGATTGCTACTACAAGAGGAATAAAAAGAAAAATGATGCAAATATTTAATAAGCCCGGGGGAACCTTTATCAAGAAACCCAAGCTAGCAAAACCTATGGAGAAGATGAACCTCAGCAAATCACCTGGTAAGTAAAAGACTGTTGGCTGTGGCTCAGGGCACTTTACATTATAGAGCACGTGGTTTAGGATGCTTTAGTGTTCATATAGAAAAGTGCATAGTATCCCCTTATGTAGCTATTAGTCAGTTGTTATGTTCAAATGTATTTCTATATGTATCTATGGATGTATGTGTATGATGTTATGTATATGGGCACGTGCATGCCACAGCATGCCTGTGGAAGGTCAGAGCAACTTGAGGGAATTACTGCTGTCATTCTACCTTATAGGTCCCAGGATTGAACTCAGGTCATCAGGCTCGGTGGCAGGTGCCTTTCCTTGCTGATTTGCTTGCCAAGTCCCCAAATGCACTTTATTTTTTTTAAAGATTTATTTATTATGTATACAACATTCTGCTTCCATGTATGCCTGCACACGAGAAGAGGGCACCAGATCTCATTATAGATGGCTGTGAGCCACCATGTGGTTGCTGGGAATTGAACTCAGGACCTCTGGAAGAGCATTCAGTGCTCTTAACCTCTGAACCCCCCCACCCCCTCAAATGTACTTTTAAAATTAATGTGCACTGGTTGGAAAACGAAAGCGCAGTCTCCCACATCACTGGTCAGTTTATTTTTTTTATTTTTTTTGGTTTTTCGAGACAGGGTTTCTCTGTGGCTTTGGAGCCTGTCCTGGAACCAGCTCTTGTAGACCAGGCTGGTCTCGAACTCACAGAGATCCGCCTGCCTCTGCCTCCCGAGTGCTGGGATTAAAGGCGTGCGCCACCACCGCCCGGCTGGTCAGTTTATTTTGTCTAATTTGTGTGTTGGAACCTTAATTACTCCCCTCCCGCCAAGATCTGGGTAGCCTAGAACTTGCTATGTAGACCACGTTGGCCTTGAACTCACAGAGATCCACTTGTCTGCCTCCTGAGTGATGGGATTAAAGATATGTGCCAGTATACCCAGCAAAATGTATTTTTAAAAGGCTTAAAAAAATCATTTTTGCAGATGATTTTGATTCAGACCCCTTTCTTGGATGTTATGTTTACTATTGGAGGAGTATTTATGTCATAATGTACAAAATTTTCTGTATCAGGACAAAGGCAAATAATTTTTCAAGTGCTTGGCACTAGGTAAAACTATTTCCTCTAGGAAATGGTTTGCTTTTTTAGTCTTCTGGAGATGAGATCTCTTAGAAGTTATTACAGAGTGTTGCAAAGTTCAAGCCTGTATGAAGATGGTAATAAGATCATTTTGACAGTACTGAGAGAAGTGACACACTACTAATAAACTTAAAAATCCAAAACTTCATGAGCTACAAACAGTGGTGAAGGAAATTAAAGGAAATCTAAATTAAGGGAGAGCTAGGTGGGATTGGAAGGCATTTTGTCCAGAAGGTATTAGCTCCTAAATTTGGACTGTAGCAGAGCCCTCAGGCTTTGGACTGCTAGGGACTCACACATCACAGTCTGCAGTCTTAGCTCAGAGCAAGGACAATCGGGACAGAGCAGTCCTGACACAATGATTATGGAGCTGTGGGAGAGAGTTGAGAAATGGGAAAGGAGCCAAACAAGGCTGCCGGGACTATGTAGAGGGGGAGAGAACAATTCGTACCAGTGTTGGACTAACTGACTAGCCTTATTTACAGTTAACACCAAGAACTGCTTCTCAGAACAAATCTCAGAAGTCTCTTAGCAGAAACCATAGGCAGGCGTTCATGATTTTGGATTTAACAAGGAATTTTTACACAGGACACCAAAAGGCATGAACAACAAATAAAAATGAATAAACTAGATTACATCAAAATTAAAACTTGTGCTTCCAAGCTGCCATTCGTAGACAGTGAAAAGAAATTGTGTGTGCTGGTGTACCCTGTCCTCTCAGCACTAGGGAGTCTGAGGTGGGATGGTGACTGTGAAGCCAGCTTAGGAGATGAGACTCTGTGTCTTCTACCCTCATTAGCTGTGTATCCATGGTATATAAAGAACTTTTAACTCTAGGCAGTGGTGGCGCACTCCTTTAATCCCAGCACTTGGGAGGCAGAGGCAGGCGGATCTCTGTGAGTTCGAGACCAGCCTGGTCTACAAGAGCTAGTTCTGGGATTGGCACCAAAAGCTAGAAAGAAACTCTGTCTCGAAGAATCAATAAAGGAAAAAAAAACTTCAACTCACAAAAAAATAAAACAAAAAAACCATAAATAACTGGAAAATAGGCAAGGGATATATGCAAACTTTCTTCAAAAAGACATAAATAACCAGTGAGCTTATGTAAAGCTCACCAAAAGTCACCAATTAGATAAATGCTGCAGATAAGTAGCACAGTTAGGTGCTCTGTGTCCTCCAGAATGGCTAGACTAAAAAGGATTGATTGATAAACTTTAGTAAGTCTATGGAGATTGCTTTAGAAAAAAGTAACTGATTTACTCAGAGAGAGCTTCTGGAAGTCATACGACAACTTGGTGGAGTTGGTCCTTTCCTTCTACTTTTACATCGGCTCTAAAGATAAATTCAAGTTGCCAGACTTGCAGAACAAATGTTTTACCTGCTGAGCCATTTCACTACCTCCTTCCCCCTCCTGTTTTGGAGATGTGGTCCTGTGCTGTAGTCCTGGCTGGCTTAGTATTTGACTGATATGGCTTCCAATTTAAGGTGGTTGTTTTTGTTGTTGTGAAGACACCATACATGTCAACTCTTGTAAAGGCAAACATTTAATTGGGGTGGCTCACAGTTTCAGAGGTTCAGGAGCACAGTGGTGTGCAGGCAGATGTGCTGGCTCCGAGTGTGCTACAGGTCTTGCAGGCAACAGGCAGTTGGCTGATAAACTTGTCAGTATCCTGAGCATGGGAAGTCTCAAAGCCCCTCCCCACCCAGTGACACAGTTCCTCTAACAATGCCGTACCCACTCCAACAAAGCCACACTTTCTAATAGTGCCCACTCCCTATGAGATCATGGGGGCCAGTTATATTTAAACTACCACAGTGGTCAAGCTTTGGCAGCACAAACACCAACTCAGCAATCCTCCCACATGTATGCAGAGACCAAAGGCATTAGGCATCTTCCTCAGGTGTTTATTTATTGTAGTGAACCTGGAGCGTACCAATTTTGGTTTGATTGTTTGGCCAGCAAGCTCCTACTCTGTCCACCTCTTCAGTGCTTGGATGACAGGTGTCTGTCACCCTGCCCAGCTTTTAAGTGGGTGTTAAGGTTCTAAACTTGGGTCTTTATGTTTTTTTGGCAAACATTTTACCTGTTGAGTTATATCTCCCCAGCCCACCTCTTTATTTGTGTATGTGTGTGATGTATATGCACATGTGTTATGCATATCTACGTGTGCATATGCAGATGGCAGAAGACAATTGTGGGTTTCTTGCTGTGTTGTTCTTTATCTTTTTTTTAAACTTCTTAAGATTTTTTGTGGATTTCACACTATGTACCCCAATCCACTCATCTCCCGTCCCTTTATATCTGCTCTTGCAACCCCCTCAGAAGACAAGCACAAAAGAAAAATCTTGTCACAGAAGCTGTAGTGTGTCACAGTCAGTCACACAGTATATACTCTTTAATCCATGTATCTTTATTTGCAAATATTCATTGCAATGAGTCATTAATCCGGTTCCAGGCCTCTGACTTCTGCTACACTATCAATACTAGATCTTTACTAGAACTCCTCTTGGCCCTCCTGTTGCCCTGTGTCATGGAGCTCCTACAGGTTTGGATCTGCAGGATCAGCCACTTCTCATGCTCTGGCAGTTCATAGATGGGGTGGATGCTGGGGTGGGTTAACTCATAGTTCTGGATTGGACCTGGTTTGTGGCTGAGTTGGTTAGCTTGCTAGCTCCCCTGCATCCACACTGTCAGAGTCCGCTCTGTGGTGCTGCGCAGGCGAAGTGCAGGGCCCATTGTCTAGAGAGCTGCAGCTGGAACAGCTCTCCCTAGTGCTGCAGTCATTGAGGGGTGGGGCCGACTCTGTGCAGACCTTGAATATCAACATAGTCCCAAGTAGCAGTCCAGACCAGGGATATCTACATGGCTTTTGGTGGTGATGTGCGGGCTGTGGTCAGGGACACAAACCCCTGCTTGCCACATGGCCATGGACCCAGACGTGGCCCCCAGCATCAGCTTAGACTGGGACTTATCATATCCCCAGGTGACTTCGTGGGATACTCATTCTCTTCACGCTGTCCTCTCCAGCCTCGTGTCTCCAGATCGCCTCTCTTCATAGTTGTTGCTCAAACTGTTGTGCTCTCTCTGTAGACAAATTTTTCTTTCCCGCTTGTCAGTTTCCAAATAACTGACACCGAGACTTAGTATTACTTGTAAATTCTTGGTCAATAACTCTGGCTTGTTACTAGCTAACTCTTACATTTAAAATTAAGCCATAATTCTTACTTACGCTCTGCCGTGTGGCAGTACCTTCTTTCAACACAGGACGTTCATCTTGCTTCTTTCTGTGTCTCTTGACTCCTTTGACTCTGCCCTTTTTCTTTCCAGTGTCTTTAGTTTGGTTGTCCCGCCTATACTTCGGTCTGACTACCAGCCAGTAAGCTTTTGATTAAACCAACCCGAGTAACAAATCTTCACTGTACAAAAGGATTATTCCATAGCACTTCTTTCTCTCTTTTCTCCATCTCATACTTACGCACCGTGCCACACACTGGGCTGGGTCTATGGGTATCTTCTTCCTGCCCTCTCTACACTGCCTTGTGTCTGCATGTATCCCTGCAGGACAGAAGAGCGCAACAGATCTCATTACGGATGGTAGTGAGCCACCATGTGGTTACTAGGAATTGAACTCAGGACCTCTGGAAGAGCAGCCAGTGCTCTTAACCTCTGAGCCATTTCTCCAGCCCCCAGATATTCTTATTTGAAGTAATATAATTAGATTTTTTTAATATAGAGAAGATTATTGTAAAATCTGAGTGAAGGTGTTCAAAGAGTTAAGAATATACAGATAACTTTTTTTTTTCTCTGTAACTTTGGAGCCTGTCCTTGAACTAGCTCTTGTAGACCAGGCTGGCCTTGTAGATCCGCCTGCCTCTGCCTCCTGAGTGCTGGGATTAAAGGCATGTGCCACCACCACCTGGCCAGATAAGCTCTTATCAAGCACTAAAATAACCTAAGTATTTAACTTACAGTGGAGTACTGACACACGGTGTAACTACTCTAACTAATGTCTTAGAGCTGAACTGACGTGAGAGGGACTGTTGAGTGGCTCCAGTTACTGTCTGCAGTGTGAACGTGTTCAGGAGCTCGGCCGTGGTGGTGCTGACACAACATGGCAGCACTGTTCACACTCCTGAGTTCACACGTCAGCATAGTTTGAGCGGGAAGCTGTATGTTTGTCTGTTGTCCTAGAATAAAAAAAGAGAAAGTTGATTTTATTTTGGAATTCTATAGACACACACTTTAAAAAAATTTAGGACCACCCTCACAATCGAAATGTGAGTTTTTCCCTTCCATCCAGGCCTGTTATTGGAGTTGGAGGTTTACCTGAGTCAGGCTCCTTCAGTGTTTCTTAAAGTATGTGAGGTATTCATGAGTTTTAGGCTCTATAGATACCATCCATTTTGGTAAGGATAAGCAAAATATGAGCAGATTTAAACAAAAATGTGTAGCAAGTAATCACAGAAATGAAGCAGATAAAGAATCACAATGTATTAAAATAAAGTTTTTCCCCCCATTATCTTAGCAAAAACTGACCCTAAAAATGAAGAAGAAGAAAAGCGGCGAGTTGAGGCACGGCGGGAGAAGCAAAGACGTAGACGAGAGAAAAACAGTGAGAAATATGGAGATGGATACAGGTTTGTGTTCACAAAATCAAAAATGAGGCTTATTAAAAGACAGTCTTCTAAGCTGGGTGCCTTTCCTAAGCATGTGCCACATCCTGTAATTGCTGCTTATGAGGCTATGGCAAGAGGATTGTTAGTTTAGTTCAGACTAGGTTACACATTAAAACACTATTTCAAAAGAAAAGTTTTTAGAAATGGCAAATATATGAAATAGAATATGAAAAAGTTGTAGTCAGTGGGAAAGATTTGACTAAAGGAACAAAGAACTGGGGCTGGGAGTACCACAGATGGTTGTGTTTGCCTGTGATGCACAGTCCTGTGGGAGCTGTTCACTACTCAGCACTGCACAGGCCACTGTGCTGGACACACCTGCACTCCAGGACTGTGCAGAGACGTAGTGATGATCTCGGCTGGGAAAGCTTGAGTACCATCAGTGTGTGTGTTATTTCCAGTAGAGATGCTAGAGACAGTTCTGAAAAAGATTAGAAATTGAAGAGGTACTGGCAGTTTTAGATACTGAAACATTAAAAGGTCATAGTGTGGGGCTAGGGAGATGGGTCATTGGGTGAGACTGCATATTGCACAAGCATGAGGACCCAAGGCTGAAAAAACTGGTTATAATCATTAACCTGTGCACAGACTGCATTTACATAAGAATGTAATACATATGATGATGCTAAATAAAAAGATTTGGTTAAACAACCAAATTTTAGAGTCAGTTTAGATCCTCCTATCCCATCTAGATAGATTAGAATTTAAAAGCCATGGAAAATGAAAAGAAAATAAAGAATAAAATAAAGAATTTTCTTCTCTGTGAGGTAGGTACTTCTCTACCCCAGACTTAAAATCAGTTATCTCTCGGTACAAAAGAAATGATGCTTGCAGGGGTCAGAGCGGGCATAGGACCCTTTGGACTGGAGCCACCATGTGGGTGCTGAGAACTGACTGGGCCCTTTACAAGAGAGCACATGCTTTTAATCCCGAGCCTTTTCTCCAGCTAGAGGACTCAAAACTCGAAAGCAAATTGTCTTAGAAAATATAATTGCAAGAAGTGACTGGCAGCTAATTTAAACATTAACTTTGTTTAAAAATTACCCCCCTTTTTTTTAAAGAAGGAAAACTAAGACATCTGATAGGTAATTTAGTGAAGGAATATAGCTAGTTGATACCTTTAAGGAAAATGTTGAGACTTAGTAATTTAAGTAAAGTACAAAAGAAATATTAGAAAAAGACTGGCTGGGCCAGGCGATGGTGGCACACACCTTTAATCCCAGCACTCAGGAGGCAGAGGCAGGCGGATCTCTGTGAGTTCGAGACCAGCCTGGTCTACAGAGCTAGTTCCAGGACAGGCTCCAAAGCCACAGAGAAACCCTGTCTCGAAAAACCAAAAAAAAAAAAAAGAAAAAGACTGGCTTACTAGCTGAGGTATAATCAAATTAACTTAAAATTTAGTGGGAAACTGTATGGGGGGGTCTTGAGTACCAGCCTCTACCCCCCTCAGGGCTCAATTGGATGTCTGCAGCAGGTGAGGATCTGAGGGTAAAGAATTAATACATTACCTCTGCATGTTCTTTTCTTGTGAGGAGGAAAAGTGAAATCAAAGGGTGCGGAGAAAAGAATAAGGGGAAGAATAGGGAGAAGACGGAAGAAGGAGAGTAAGGGGAAGAAGTAGAAGTAGTAGTGGAGAGAACAAAAGAAGAGTAAGGAGAAGAAACAGAATAAGGGCTCATCTCCATGAGGTTTCTAGTTTTACAGACATATTTGGAAAATTCCTTAGGCAAGGACAATGATAATATGTATATCAAAATCACAGGGCAGGTAGAACCTGGCAAAGCTGTGAATAGGTGACCCGACCCAGGAAAGAGCCAGCATCCAAGGGGAAGTACCTGACATCCCAAACCATTAGATAAAGTTACTAAGCATCCCTGAGTCCTGGATTCACCCATTCTCCTCACCAAATCTCTTTGGTGACAATGAGCTTTGGGGACGCCCAGATTTGTTTGTTAGCAAAGGTGGGGCACACTGCCTTCCTGCTCAGTGCCAGTCTTTACACATTTCTATGGGGTTAGTTAGCAGATGATTTTGTGGGATTGACTCTATGTAAATTTGACTGTTAGAACAAAGAGTGAAAGCCATTGCTCCAAGGCCTCTTGGTGTGGGGATGGAGCAAGGTCACTCCCTTGCCTTGCAGAAGTCACACTGATGAGGTGTTTGGGGAATGAATCCCATTTTGAAGGGAGAATCATGACTTCACAAGATTTTTACAGAAATGACAGTGACTTTTCCTAAAGACAAGTGTTCCCTCAGCTCTGCAAAATGGGTTATTCCATGTCGACGTGTACATATACGCTTTCCGTGGATCTGCCTATTGTTTGGTCAGCTGTGCATTCACTGTAGTCTTGTGGGCTCTGACAGAAATGTGTAATATTATAACTATTAGAATTCAGATGGCAATTGGAAAAAGTTAAACAACTTTGTATTCATTGATATTGCCAAGGAAATAATCTGAAACACAGAAGAGTTTAATCTACAAAAATTCTCATTATAGCATGATTTACTTTAAGTATTAGTGGGAACTAAATATCAATTCTAGAGAATGATGAAGTTGATACGTTTTGGCTCATTACCTTATGAGCTCATTGTTAAAAATTAGAATTATAGAATTTGCAATAACTTGGAGGAAAGATTAAAAGTAGAAAAATACATAATTAAGATGTAAATTATAGGGCAAAAGACAGAGGAGTAGCGTCTCGCTGTGTATCCCATGTTGGTCTTAAATTTGTGAGCCTCCTTTCTCAGCCTCACAATTGCTGAGATTTCAGGCATGTGCCTCTCTGTCTATCAGGATTTTTTTTTTTTTTGTGTGTGTGTGTGTGTGTGTGTGTGGCTTTTCGAGACAGGGTTTCTCTGTGTAGCCTTGGTGGTCCGGAACTCTTGCTGTGTAGACCAAGCTGGCCTTGAGCTCACAAGGATCTGCCTTTCTCTGCCTCCTGAGTGCTAGGATTAAAGGTGTGTGTACCACCATGAAAATTTTTAAAGACTCCTTATATTAAGATAATATGGAATAATATAATAAAGAATATAACATTTCTAAAGCATAAACAGAAAATGTCTTTCTTAATGTTTTTATTAAAATTTCAGTTGTATATGTATTGGGAAAAGGATGAAATGATGTGTATTAAATTAATGTTCTGTGTAGCTCAGACTATCTTTAACATAGTGTCTGAAATCTTTTGAGGAAAGCTTTATTTACAGTGTGAATTTCCATTCATATTAAGTAGGAAACGATTGTTACTTGCTATGAATGTGTACAAAGGGTAGAAAAGAATATTAAGTTTCATCTGAATTTGTAGATACTTCATTTGTTCTATCTTTGATTTTAGGTCTTGGGTATTTGCATTTATAATCTTGTATCTAGCTTTACTAAGCTGTTCTTTTTCTGCTTTATTGCTCCTAATTTACTAGTCTTTAAGAAACAATATAAACATACTATGAATTAATTACTCCATAAAGAGGAGTTACAGTTTGTTTTTGTCTAAAATTTTATTTTTGAGATCATAATATAATTACATTATTTCCTCCTTCCTTTTCTTTGCTCCAAACCCTCCAAACCCTCCTTGCTCTCTTTGAAATTCATGGGTGAGCTCTTTTTTCATTTTTTTTCATACATGTATGTATATCTACATCTGTGTTCCTAAACCTCAGAGTTAGTGTAGTTTTGTATGCGTGTTTTAAAGGGCTAACCGTTTGATGCTGAAGAACCAGTTGGTGTGCTCCTCCCTGGGGAAGGCTGTCTCCCACTCTGAGCATCTCTCAGCTGTGTGTGTTCTTTGTGTAGGGTTGAGCCCGTCCACTTTGGTGTGCCCTTATTCAGCTCATGTTTTGGCAGTTATGGTTGGTGAGGTTTTGTGGATGTAGCTTCTGACATTACGAGAAAACACAGTTTGACAACAAATTCCCTGATCCTGAGGCTCTTACAGTCTTTTCCCTCTTCTACAATGTTCCCCAAGTTTTAGGTGTGGGAGTTTTGGGGATTGGGCTCCACAACTCTCCATTTTGATTGGTTTTCTGTAATGGTCTGTGTCTGTTGCAAGAAGTTTCCTTGATGAGGGGTGAAGACTACGCTTACCTGTGGGTATAAGAACAAATATTTAGAGTGTACTTGGGGTTATCCTAGCCTGGAAAAATGGTTGTTATGGTTAAGGTTCTTCTTCAAGATGCATAACTTTTCCTAGGGAGTTGGCTAGGTTTCTAGGATCAGGCATGATTTCTCTCTAGTTGATCAACTCATAGTCTAATCAGAGCTATTGGTTACTGCCAAGGAATGTATGCTGCTACTGCAACCTAGTGAGAAATGCACCGATTGTCCTTCTGAGTCTGGGGGTAATTCCGTCAATATGATCTTTTTAAAAATTTTCATTCATTTACCTGCAAAATTCATGATTTCATTTTTCTTTGCAGTTGAATAGTATTCCATAGTGTATATGCACCATGTTTTCATTCTCCATTTGTTGGTTGAAGACATTTAGGTGTTTGTGTTTTCTAGCTATTGTGAATAGAGCAGCATTGAATGTGGGGAGTAGGATGTTAAGTCCTTTGGGCTTATGCTAAGGAGTGGTGTGGTTGAGTCATATGCTAGATTTAATTTTAGCGTTTTGAGAATTCTCCACACCATTTCCATAGTGGCTGCACCAGTCTGCAGACACCAAGAGTGATGAGGGTTTCCTCTTCCCTCATCCCCCCAACATTTGTTGTTGGTTATCTTGTTAATATTTACCATTTTGACTGAGACAAGAATTGAGCTGTACATTTTTCTCTGCTATCCTTCCTGCCTCTCCCCTCCCCATCAACCCTCCCCCATGATCCCCATGCCCCCAGTTTACTCAGGAGATCTTGTCTTTTTCTACTTCCCATGTAGATTAGCCATTTATGTCTCTCTTAGGGTCCTCATTGTTGTCTAGGTTCTCTGGGATTATGATTTGTAAGCTGGTTTTCTTTGCTTTATGTTTAAA